TGCCGTTATCCAACGTTATTCAGGCTTAGTCGTCGCCGGAGTTATCAAGTGAAATGCAAGTTGGTGAAGATCCGATGAATGATAATTTCTGGAAGCGATTTCTGAGAATGAACAATATCGCTTGACTGAAATGCTGGCAGTTATAATAAAGATTACTATATGTTTGTACTGTGTCTGGAACCACTGAAGCAGCATTTGATCAAAGATTTTGCTCTCATTGATTTACTTTCCAGAGACACGTTTTCTGAAACGAATCGCTGGCCTCAGGCATCTCGATATAGTCCGGAGTACAAATATCCATGAGAGCCCTGGTGTAAGTCCCTGGTACTTCAGATTGAGAAGTCACAGCTGCCATAATTTGGGCAGATGTTGCAAATGCCTAATGAAAGGAAAGTGAAGCAAATATTTCTTGCCCAGCCGAATGGCAGAAGACTCAGGGAACGGCCAAGAATGACCTGGTAAAATAGAACCGAAGGACTCTGCTCCGGACCCAGGTTATCTTCTGCCGAATTTAAAACTCTGCCACAGAATCAGGAACAGTAGAACACGTATGACTCCGCGACCCGAAAGGACATAACAGATCATCGAAAGTGACTGTCTAACTAACTGATCAAACAGAAATACGGTATTGAAAACGTAGAATCATGATACACCTAAGAATACCATAAGCGTTCGGTTAAATGTCAGAATGACAGGCAGGAAAGGTTTAATTTCGAGAAAATGCAGTGTTTCTCGATATCAATGGTGCTAAACGCCACGGTTGAGGTTCAAAAAGACATAAGTGACTATTAATAGCCTTTCGTCCTTTCGAAGTTGAAAAATAAGTACGTTTCCGCGCAAAATGAGCATGATTTCAAGGAAATAGGAGACTACCCGTTATGCTGGCTACATAGCTACTGTAAACTCTCCCTTTAGGATATTCACTCCAGGCTGATCACAAAAAATAGAGATCAGCACCTCATCATAAACTTTATGAAAAGAACGGCGCCAAAAATGATCCCATCAGGAAAATGTTAGTGAAACCGATATTCCAACGGCTACAGACTTTCCTCCCTTACAAATAGTAAGACTAAACAGTAGTACTAGTATTCACAGTAAAAGTAACAGTACCAGTACGTTACATCAGACACAGTAAAGTTGCTCAGACGTAGACTAGTCCATTATCATTTTCTCTATCATCTGGCCTAATGGTATAAACATCAAGCAAACTACTAAACGCAGTTATGTTATTTTACTTCAATGCCTGACGGATCGAGTCAGATATTTATCCGACTAAGTCACGACTTATCAGAGGACTGATACGACAGGTAGTTCTCAATCTTTCCGTCCGGATTGATAAACGGAATATACATTTGATAAGTAGAACCCTTTAAGCGCAATCTTCGAAACATACAGCGAAAGCAGAAAAGAACGTTCACACGGCGTTCCTAGACCTGGAGGAAGCTTTTGACGGAATACCAAGAGAGACAATGTGGTGAAGCATGAGAAAGAAGCTGGTACCAAAGACATGTAAGACACTTCGACAATGATAGTTCGAAGTACATGTGAAGAAACAAGAATTATTTGTGCGAGTAAGGATCTGTCAAGGTGCAGCAGCAATGAACTCATTTCTGAACCTGACAGCAACAGTAGCGATATGATAAAGATATACGGAAAGCAGACGTATTCTACGGTTACTATACGCATAAGAAGTTGTGCTGAACAATGAAAGCAGAGAAACAAAAGCATCTGAAATCAAGAGATGGAAAAAAGACGTTGATAAAAACAGATTTCAGATCAGCAAAAAGAGTACTCAGTACTCATATGGAGGAATATTCCAGTAAAAAACAGTAAAAAAACAATGAATCAGTGACAACAGCGGAGTATGCTGCTACAAATGCAACACATCAAGCCTCTTGATTCAGTTTTGCAAGGCAATGGGGAAATCGACAGTAAATTAAGAAATCGGTCGAGAAAAGTAGGAGCCTATTGAAGTGAGTTGACGGCGTACTGTGCAATAAAAGGCCAGTATCTCCGCACGAAGGGGAATTTTTGGCTGCCCTGAAGAGACATGAGCAACAGCTGAATTCAACAGAAATAAAAATGCTCAGATGATATGCAGTGATAACAAAAAGTATCATATCCGGAATAGGTCATAGGAGGCACTTAAGGTGTAGCACCATTTTCACAAAAACTGACTGAAGGCAGACTCGGTTGGTTCGGCCACGTGAACGAGTATGTTAGAAATATTTTAAAGCACTGATTCTACGCAGGAAAAAAATACAGAGAATTTTAAACAAAAGGTTGCGCACAACTGTAAAGAACGACATGAAACTGCGAGGATTGACCGAAGATTTGACCAAAGGCTGAAAAATATGGAGAAGGTTAGCTCGAGCAGGGGACCTGTTTAAGAAAATATAAACAAACTGTGTCAACTGTTGTGTTGTTAGAGACCGCTTCATGACGAGCCCTAATGGCTTCCGTAGCGGATGAGGAAAATATATTTCGCAACACTTGTTACTATATACAAAACGGGGAAATTACGAATGGATTTTGGAACGTTTCGACTTATACGTGAGGTAAAATTCAAATCACTTAAAAAATGTTAGATCATGCGCAATGGTGTAATTCTGATACACCTTTGGTGTGTACAGGCAACTAGTCAACGCAAAACTAAAGAAAT